TGAAATCAAATGATAATGCACCGGTAATTACCATTGTGTCACATGTAAATGGGAAGTTGAAAAAAACATTTATTCTTCTATCTGGTGTTTAAATTTTAAAGTATTTGGAGTCAAGCTTCTTTAGGCTATGTAGTTTAAGAGAGGTTTTAGTCTGACCATGAAGAATCAGCAGGACTGATAAGGAGTCAAACTTTGCAAAATATTGAGCTAAATGGTTTGTATATGTTCCCATATATCAAACACTATAAAGCAGAAAATTATTAATATCATTAAGGAAAAGAAACTGTGCATCACGGCAAATAATTGTGGTATAGTAAATGAGGAAAAATATTTACATAAACGAACACTTGTCACCTTATAACAGAAATTTCGTCTATAGACATGGGCGTAGCTAGGGGGGAGCCAGGGGGGACACGGCCCCTCCCAGAGAACCTGGTGCCCCCCCCAGGAAATCACAGTTGAAAAAGTGTTGAGTCGATTTGTAAAAACCTCAAGCTAAAATAAAAGTTTTGAATACTAAAAAAGGATGAACGGCTTCCTCGGTGCCCAATAATGAACAATAATTTGGAATAATTCAATTTTCTGTCAGGTTGGCCTCCACTAGGCCCCCCCATAACAAAACTCTGGCTACGCCCAAGTCTATAGAACTAGACTGTTGAAAAAGCAAAAAAAAAAAAAATAAATACAGTGACTAGTGGAGGTAATATATATATATATATATATATAATTNCGCACTGAACAGATCCCAGTTGGTGTGTTTCCTGTAATGGGGGACAACATTTCCGCTGTTTTGATGTGGGTGTTCAATTTCGGTGAGGATATACCTGTGGTCACTCGCTGAATCCTTAAGCAGAGTACTACAGCTTATTATCTGGTTTCCTATGCTTGTTGGGGCTAGACAGATATCTGTCCAACCTTTTGCTCTGGCTGTTTGGAAGGTTGGAAGATCAGAGGTATTCAATGAGATTGCGTCTATTTCATTGATGAGATCTTGCATTAGCCGACCTCTGGCATCCTCCTCCTCATGAAACCACAGGGAGGACTTGGCATTGCAATCACCGGCAATTATATAACTTTTACCCGTTAATTTGTGAGTGACACCACTGAGTTCTTTTATACATTCTTCATCGTCCTCGAAGGGGGAGAAATAGATGCCGATGATGAAATCCACCGGGCCCCTGTGCAAGGCCACTGTAGTAATCCTATTGGTACTCAAATCTGGTACTAGCACCGCATTAATGTCAGCATTCCGTATAAGTATCCCACATTTTGCTCTATTATTGTCTGTCCTAGTGTTAAACACCTTCCAGGAGCCGAAGCATACTATTTCATTTTTAACCGTATATGGTTCCTGGATGAGGATAAGATCTATATCCAGGTCGTTGGCAGTCTTGACAAGCAAAGAGCATGCTGCTTGGCTCTTCTGTGTGTTGATTTGTAGGATCTTACAACTTCGATTAGCCATTATTTGGGCTGGAGCAGAACAGTGAGNCTTGGCATTGCAATCACCGGCAATTATATAACTTTTACCCGTTAATTTGTGAGTGACACCACTGAGTTCTTTTATACATTCTTCATCGTCCTCGAAGGGGGAGAAATAGATGCCGATGATGAAATCCACCGGGCCCCTGTGCAAGGCCACTGTAGTAATCCTATTGGTACTCAAATCTGGTATTTTTTGCCAAATTTATGCCAAATTTTATGCCAAATTTTGGCATACTAGCACTGACTGAAACCTGGAAAAATGAAAGCAACCCTCCACCAAAGATACACGACTATCAAGAAGAGAAAATTGAAAGATCACCAGGTGAACATGGCGGTATCGTCCTATACATTAACAAGAATCTAAATTATGAACTAATATGAAATTTAACTTTTATGTAAAACTATATAGATATTTTAATGATAACCTGTAATAAATATATGTTGGTGACTCTATACCATTCTCTGGCAACAAATTCCAGTAGACTTTTCGACTACTACAGACGGTGATCTCATATAAAACAAATAGCAAATATAGAAATCATAAATTGTTAATTATCGGAGACCTTAACATTGATTTGCTTAAAGAAGATTCAGTAAGTACTAGTGAATTAATTAACTTTTGCTTAACTGAAAATCTTACAATTTTAGCAGACTTAAAACAGCCCACTAGGTACAGCAATCAAACTCCGTTGTTATTAGACATAGGGCTAACTAACGTAAGTGAAGCTAAATTTTTGATTCATCAGTATTTAGTCTTGGATCACCTTCCTTTACTAGTCTTTATTCCCAATAAAGACATAGTGAAAGGAGAAAGAAGAATTATAAAATGATGCAAAATAAATAACTTATCAATAAAATTATTACAGGTGCTCTTATTTCCTGTTTCTCTTGGAATTATTATTACACAAGAGACCTTTCTGTGGATGAACTTGCAGATTATCTAATGTCTATGCTATTAATATTTATTGACAAATACCTTCCAGAAAAATATTTAGAAATAAATAATACATTTAAAAAGAAAACTTACTTAAAGAAAATCATAATCGACGAAACTCTTGAGAAAATTAAACAAAAAAAATTCCTTTTCAAAGAATTAAAAAATAAATTACTGTATTTTTCGCCGTATAAGACGCACCCAATTTTAAAGGAGGCAAATTCAGAAAAAAAAAGATTATGAACCAAATTCTGTAGTAAAATATTTTATATCAACTGTATAAAGTTAACAGCAGTTAAGAAAAATTTTATGTCAACCATGTAACATACTAAGAGCTATCTTTACTATCATAAACAGTCAGCAAACAGTGAAAGTAACAAAAATAAGGCTGTCATGTTTTTATTCTAACCCCAAGAATTCCTCTTCTTTGCTGCTATCAGAAATGAGGAAGGACAGATCCACGCAGTCATTGTCATCACTTTCNTAGGGAACTAAATAAAGGTTTCTAATTCATTAGCCATATAGTGTACAATAAAGAATACAATTATAATAGCTTAAATCTAACAAATTTAATCTGAAATTTATATTACCATTGAAAACCTTTACTTATCCAGCAGAATATTTTTTTAAATACAGTAAACACCAATTATCATTTGCAGCTGCCTTCATTGCCTATCTTAAAGTTTACCAAACATCAACCAAATGAAATGTTATCAACAAGATCTTCTTGTGGATCATCTCATTTTATGATTTGAAAATAATGTTTGTAGCATTTAAATATAAAATTTTTAAATACATAACTAAGTTTATGTTCATTATGTTCCACTTGGTTGATGTTTGATAAACCTGAAAATAGCTGATGAAGACAGATGAAAATGTTAGTTACTGTTTACTTAAATAATATGCTGGATTAGTAAAGGTTTTAGTTAGTAATAAATGATAAAACATATATCTGTAAGCATTTGAAATAAATATTTTATGTATAATCTGTATTAAATTTAGATATGCTATATTTAAAAAGTAATCAAAAGAAATACCTAACTTTAAATTATATATAATTAAATAAATTATATATAAACACACCTTTTCATATGTTTCCAACAATTCTCTATAGTTCTAACGAACGTTTTAGAGGCTTTCTTCAAAAAATTAGGAGCCATTTTAATTGGATGGAGTTATGTTGTGTTCCAAAATGAAACAATTCAAAATTTTTTTGAGGGTATTTAAATTTGTTATGTTGTAACTTGAGATTTATAAATTTAAATAACCTCAAAGAAACTTTGAATTGTTTCATTTTGAAACACAACATAACTCCATCCAATTATTAGGTAACCAAAAAAGTTCTGTCGTTTTTTGTGAAACTACAAAGTTTAAAAAATGTTACATGCAATACATAATAGATGGCACTAAAATTCCAGCAATATGTTAATCAAGATTTAATGCTGACTCACCTTATATAAAGAGAAGTGGAAAGGTTATCTCTTAATATTATAAAAATTGACCTGAAGATGAGTACTCCAAACTCTATAATTCGTGCTTGTATGTTGTATGAATTTAAACTTGGAACAAATGCTGTGCAAATGGCTCAAAAATATGCCAGGCTTTTGGACAAGGTTCTGTCAGCACACACCACTCAAAGATGGTTTACAAAATTTTTTTCTGGCAATGAGTCGCTTAAAGATGCGCCATGAGAATGATGATGAATTAGAGGCTGCAATCGAAGAAGATCCTGCTCAAACTTGTCAGATGTTAGCACAAAGGTTCTCCGTAAGTGATGAAACTGTCCGTTTACATTTGCATTGTCTTGGGAAAGTTTACAAGCTCAGCAAATGGATACTTCATCAATTGGCACCTGCCAATATTGTGCATATGGTGGACTGCAAATGGATTTGTTCACTGTGAACTTATACTATCTGGCCAGACTATTACTGCTAATGTCTACAGTGACCAACTGCATTGAGTTCACCAATCACTTTTGAAAAAACAGCCAGCTTTAGTGAACTGTAAAGGCGTTCTTTTCCTACACAATAATGCTATAGGTCTCATGTTGCGTGTGTGACCTCTGACACAATTCAGACCCTTGGATGGGAACCTCTTTTGCACCCTCCTTATTCCCCTGACATTAGCCCTTCTGACTATGACCTATTTTTAAGCCTAGATAATCATTTGCAAAATTGACAGTTCAGAAATAGAGAGGCTATGGAAACGGAGTTAGAGAAGCTTTTCAACTCTAAAGATCGTGACTTTTATAAAAATGGAATTTATAAGCTTGTTTCCTGTTGGGAAAAGGTTATTGAATGTGAGGGTGATTATTTTGATGAATAAATTGTGTTATTTCCTATACATTTTTATGTTTGTTTTCTTTCAACAAAAAATGACAGAACTTTTTTGGTTACCTGATAGAATGGCTCCTAATCTGAAGAAGGCCTGTAAATCAAGCTGAAAATGTTTGTTAAAACTATAGAGAATTGCTGGAAATGTACAAAAAGGTATGTTTATATATAATTACAACAATTTCTGCTTAAAGTAGATGATTTAATTTGAAATATTCAACAATAAATTTTAAGATAATTATATATTTTCAGAGGTGATTGGCCTGGTAGATGGAATCATCTTCGTAAAATCCTTGAAAGAACAGGACCATTAAGTCATCCTCAGTTTGAAGCAGGTCCCCATGTAAATATTTTAATATCTGTTTATTAAATATATATTGTGTTGGACAATATTATTTTTCCTATTATAAATGCTTAGTCATTACTGAAATAATAATGATATTAATAAAATTAACTTTTTTTAAAATTTGTTATGAATGATAAATATTTTTAGTTTTTTGAAACATTTTCCTCAATCTAATATTTTAGTAGCTTTAATAAACAATTATTATTATTATTATTAATTTTTAAATATTTTGAATAATCAAAATGATAACTTTTTAAAACTAGATCAAGTTCTTAATTTAATATAATTATAATAATAATAATTTTTATCTACTGAAGATATGTTTGAATATATCAAAATTGAAGAGATCAAAAGACAAAAGCTTATTTTATATTTATTTTATTATATATTAATTTAAATACCATAAAAATTTTTTTTTTTAATTTCATTTAAATATTTCTGTTGCTGTCAAAAAAAAAAACAATTATATTGGAAGACATTAACTTTACTATTTTTGTTTTGTGTACAATTTTAAAATATTTCTGCTGCAGTATATTAACTTTTATTATATTTTTATTTTTAGGCTTTAGAATTTCTTTTGGAACAATGTCAAATACTTGTTGTAGGTGCTGGTGGTTTAGGATGTGAATTATTAAAAAATTTGGTAATTATAAAATTGAAATAATGTTAGGATGATAAACAGGTGTTATTAAAAATTTTCCAAACACAAATTAATTATGACTCAAGTACTTTTAATTAAGTCAATTTAATTTTTTTCAGGCTAGAATATAACTAAAAACTTTTTACGTTAGGCACTAGAAGCTGAATGATTCATGATTGCCATACAAGACCATTGTATAAACACCAAAAATTACAGAGTATACATGTTAAAAGACAATAAGTTATAGATGATACCTACAGAAAATCTCTCATCTGATCTGAGACAATAGAACTTATTCAAATTTTTGATTGATTATTAAAATGATACAATACAAACAGTTTATTTCATTATATATTCTTAAAACTAAAATCATCTCATATAGCAACAATTGACTGTGGATGAAAAGAAATTAAAAAACAGAAAAATTTCACTTGAGTTTATAATTTATTTACAGACTGTACATTAGAGTGCAAGCTCTTAGTAAACAGATTATTTACATGATGAAACCAAATAACAAATATACAACAAAAGATTGAACATGCACATAAATTATTGCACACTTAAACATGAACATAGTCACAGATAGTATTAGAAAAAATATACCAAATATACTGTACTAAACAGAACTGCAGATAAAAGCATTTGCATCACAATACACTGCAATCATTCACAAACAAATAAACTGATATTTACCATAGACAACATATGAAACATCCATAATACATAAATTATTCTACACTGAAAAAATTACTTAATATATCAGGTCAGTCTGTAAGTTCATGCCTATTTTATGACTTTGAGAAAAATCTTGTATTGCTGTTAAAATTGCCAATCTAATGTGATACTTTTTACACTGAAGTGTTAAATTGGATCTCATTCATATAATACTGTTCAGAATTGGGAACATTTCAGTTGTTTATTTTCGTTAAAATGGAAGTAACAGATGAATATAAGAGACATGTTTTATACTTTTTATTTTTAAGTGATGAGAATGCTACAAATACAGCCAGAAAATTAAATACTGTTCATAATCAAACTGTAATTAGTGTAAGGACTGCGCAGAAGTGGTTTGAAAGATTTAGAAATAATGATTTTAGTGTGGAGGATAAGGCTCGTACTNGATGGGAACCTCTTTTGCACCCTCCTTATTCCCCTGACATTAGCCCTTCTGACTATGACCTATTTTTAAGCCTAGATAATCATTTGTAAAATTGACAGTTCAGAAATAGAGAGGCTATGGAAACGGAGTTAGAGAAGCTTTTCAACTCTAAAGATCGTGACTTTTATAAAAATGGAATTTATAAGCTTGTTTCCTGTTGGGAAAAGGTTATTGAATGTGAGGGTGATTATTTTGATGAATAAATTGTGTTATTTCCTATACATTTTTATGTTTGTTTTCTTTCAACAAAAAATGACAGAACTTTTTTGGTTACCTGATAGAATGGCTCCTAATCTGAAGAAGGCCTGTAAATCAAGCTGAAAATGTTTGTTAAAACTATAGAGAATTGCTGGAAATGTACAAAAAGGTGTGTTTATATATAATTACAATTTCTGCTTAAAGTAGATGATTTAATTTGAAATATTCAACAATAAATTTTAAGATAATTATATATTTTCAGAGGTGATTGGCCTGGTAGATGGAATCATCTTCGTAAAATCCTTGAAAGAACAGGACCATTAAGTCATCCTCAGTTTGAAGCAGGTTCCCATGTAAATATTTTAATATCTGTTTATTAAATATATATTGTGTTGGACAATATTATTTTTCCTATTATAAATGCTTAGTCATTACTGAAATAATAATGATATTAATAAAATTAACTTTTTTTAAAATTTGTTATGAATGATAAATATTTTTAGTTTTTTGAAACATTTTCCTCAATCTAATATTTTAGTAGCTTTAATAAACAATTATTATTATTATTATTAATTTTTAAATATTTTGAATAATCAAAATGATAACTTTTTAAAACTAGATCAAGTTCTTAATTTAATATAATTATAATAATAATAATTTTTATCTACTGAAGATATGTTTGAATATATCAAAATTGAAGAGATCAAAAGACAAAAGCTTATTTTATATTTATTTTATTATATATTAATTTAAATACCATAAAAATTTTTTTTAAAATTTCATTTAAATATTTCTGTTGCTGTCAAAAAAAAACAATTATATTGGAAGACATTAACTTTACTATTTTTGTTTTGTGTACAATTTTAAAATATTTCTGCTGCAGTATATTAACTTTTATTATATTTTTATTTTTAGGCTTTAGAATTTCTTTTGGAACAATGTCGAATACTTGTTGTAGGTGCTGGTGGTTTAGGATGTGAATTATTAAAAAATTTGGTAATTATAAAATTTGAAATAATGTTAGGATGATAAATGCATGTTATTAAAAATTTTCCAAACACAAATTAATTATGACTCAAGTACTTTAATTAAGTCAATTTAATTTTTTTCAGGCTAGAATATAACAAAAAACTTTTTATGTTAGGCACTATAGTCTATTTATCGTAACTTGGCACCTACTGTAAACAAAGATTTTGTCGTATTAATCCGCCGGAGATTTTTATTGGTCAAATCACAATCAGAAGTGGCTAGACACGTGTTGACCAGTTAAGCCCCTTTCTCTGCACGTGTTAAAATCTCATCAAGTTCCCACATTCGTTGTTCTTCTTTTTCTATATGTTTGATACATTTTCTCCGTTTTTCTTCAGTTATTTGTTCGACAACACACAGTTTGAAATAATGATAGTTATTGTAATGAATGGAAAACGAAACCAAGACATTATAGTGCTCATGACCGGAAAAAGTTTATTTTTAGTGATTCGAAATGTGCAAATATTCATTAAAATAACAATTTAACAAGTATGAAATAATTACATTTATAAACATTGCTAAGTGACTAGTATTTCATTAATGATTTTATAAATAACGAACAACTATTTTCTGCGGACGAATGAGATGCAACGCGGTTTCTAATTGATGGACGTGGGTTTAAGCCAATAAACAATGGGAAGTGTGTCTTAGTTTGTTTACAATAGGTGCCAAGTTAGGATAAATAGACTATAGAAGCTGAATGACATGATTGCCATACAAGATCATTGTATAAACAAAAAATTACAGAGTATACATGTTAAAAGACAACAAATTATAGATGATACCTACAGAAAATCTCTGATCTGATCTGAGACAATAGAAATCATTCAAATTTATGATTGTTTATTAAAATGATACAATACAAAGACTTGTTTATTTCATTATATATTCTTAAGACTAATTAATTAAAATCATCTCATATAGCAACAATTGACTGTGGATGAAAAGAAATTAAAACACAGAAAAATTTCACTTGAGTTTATAATTTCTTTACAGACTGTACATTAGAGTGCAAGCTCTTAGTAAACAGATTATTTACATAGATGAAGCCAAATAACGAATATACAACAAAAGATTGAACATGAACATAAATTATTGCACACTTAGACATAAACATAGTCACAGATAGTATTAGAAAAAATATACCAAATATACTGTACTAAACAGAACTGCAGATAAAAGCATTTGCATCACAATACACTGCAATCATTCACAAACAAATAAACTGATATTTATCATAGACAACATATGAAACATCCATAATACATAAATTATTCTACACTGAAAAAATTACTTAATATATATAGCACTTTCCCAAGAAATTGTTTCTTTGGAAGATGGATAAATTATTTTTATAGTCCTCTCTTCCACAGAAGTCATACTACATATGTTGATCAAAAGTTTAGAATCATTAGATCTTAACAACATTCAAATTATATTACAAAATGCTGTAATATTAAATTTGTTATATTATTAAGAAAAAACATTTACTTAACCAGAAATTTAGCTCATTAAATAAAATTATGCAGAAAATGAACATTTTTAACTGTTTTTAGCAATCATCCTCAAGTTAAGAACTTATTTGGAAATGTAGAACATATGATGGAATGTAATAATTTGAATTATGACACAAACATCTAATTGATCATTAGGAGTCACACATTTGTGTCCAGATGTAAATATCTACATGTAACATTAATACTAAATATCCAATAACACCCTCCAAGCTGTGGATAATGTATTGTCCTTGTAGTTAGTTGAAGAATGTTAAACAAATTTACAAACAGAAACAACAAAATCCATATTGTTTTTACTAGCCTTGTAAATTTCCAGCATTTCCAGGTATTTAAGTAGAAAAGGCTCCTGTATGTGGTGAATGAGACATGCATTATCCATGTAAACCCACACATTCTTGTTCAAGCATATGTGGCTAAACTCATAGTGGTTTGCCCATCATATCTCTGTTGCACATTTCCTGGATATCAAGATACATATACAGGATGTGGTACACCAATGTATACATACATATACATTGGTGTACCACAAACCCACATACAATCCAATTTTCATTGTCCTTGTATGATCATTTCTATTATAAGATGGTGGCTTTTAGAGTCTTAGTAAAAAGGGCATTCACACACTCATCCACTACCAGGGAGAGATTTCATGAATTCAGTAAATAAATCAGTTGGCTGTCCAACATGGGTACCCACCTAGATTAATAAAAAATTTAGTCAACAAGTATAAAAAGCAACATCAAAATATGGGAATGATGGAACATAAATTCAAGATTGTGAGTGTAACAAGACGCTGATGGCTACATACAGAGAAATAGAAGATTACAACAACCTTTCCTTGGTCTACAGAAGAAACCCCACCATCTATATGCTTCTTAGGAACAGCAAAGACCCTCACAATAAGTTGTTTCATCCGGGAGTACACTCCATACTGTTGCGGAACAACAGAGACAGCTAACATCTACAAAACATTGGGGCTACAATATGTCCATGAAAGCAATTTTTACAAGAACTTATGTCATTAATAAAAGGCAAACCACTATGACTTTTAGCCACATGTTTTGGATGAGGATGTGTGGGTTTACATGGATAATGCATGTCTCATTCACCACATACAGGAGCCTTTTCTACTTAAATACCTGGAAATGCTGGAAATTTACAAGGTTAGTAAAAACAACATGGCTTTTGCCGTTTCTGTTTGTAAATTTGTTTAACATTCTTCAACTAACTACAAGGACAACACATTATTCACAGCTTGGAGGGTGTTATTGGATATTTAGTATTAATGTTACATGTAGATATTTACATCTGGATACAAATGTGTGACTCCTAATGATCAATTAGATGTTTGTGTCATAATTCAAATTATTACATTCCATCATATGTTCTACATTTCCAAATAAGTTCTTAACTTGAGGATGATTGCTAAAAAACAATTGAAAATGTTCATTTTCTGCATAATTTTATTTATTGATCTGGATTTCTGGTTAAGTAAGTGTTTTTGTCGACTATCTAGTAGTTAGTCATGTATTAATTATTAGGAAAATTTTAAAATATAAATATAACAACAGTACACAAATATAAAACAATAATTTAAATATCTATTTTGACAGAAGGTCGTTGTATGTGCTTCTCTTCATAATAACTAGATCTTTTGACTTGTTGGTCCTTTTGAGCACTAGATTATTATCTTTCAGCCACTTTTGAGTTTTTCTGATATAAGACCAAAGTGGTTCGCTGTCTCTTTTATGGTTTTCGTGCTTGATTTTAAGTGCAACTTCCCACCTGAACATTTCTTTCTTGATCTCACTCAGGCCCTCTAATGCCTGCTCAATATCCGGCATGAGTTTAACATGCATAACTATAGGTAGTGGGGATATTTAGGGTCGTATTTACATGCCTCGTTTATGTAAGTAGGCAGGTTGATGCTGTCCCAGCATATAACCGTAGGTCTGATCAGCATTTTATAGCAAGTTTCTTGGTGCTTTCTGATCCATGTCATTTTGTTCTTATATCTCTCCTTTAATCTTTCTGTCACTTGTGTAGCTAGGCTTATGACTCATGCGTTAGCTTCTTTTAAAACATGAGGGTCAAGGTCATATAGTTCATTTTCTAGCTTGATTAGCTCTCAAAAGTGGCTGAAAGATAATAATCTAGTGCTCACAAGGGCTGACAAGTCAAAAGATCTAGTTAAATATCTATGCCTTAATTTTAATCCACTATAGCACTTGGCACTGATGATAACAAAGTATCATATTTATATTACATATTACGTATATTAAAATTGAGTAAATTTTATATATGTTAATTTTTTTGTATACAGGCTCTTATGGGCTTCAGAAATATTGATGTCATAGATATGGATACTATTGAAATATCAAATCTTAATAGGCAATTTTTATTTAGGTAAAATATTTTTACTATTAGTAACTGGTTAAGAAGTTTAATAAAAATGTTAAAATATTGATATGAATTTGCAGGCCGCAAGATGTTGGAAAATCTAAGGCTGAAGTTGCTGCAGAATTTATCAATAAAAGAATTCCAAATTGCAGAGTAACTCCGTATCCTTGGCATTTCTTACTCTGTATATATACATAATGTGTTTTAATTTATAATCAAAATAATTTTCAATAATACCATTATTTATATTGAATTTGATAGAAATAACTATGTTGCCGCCAATGACTTGAGATGGGCCCTAATGTTTTTTGAAGATTGTTATTAGTCTCAAACCTCTGCCCTCCTAGCCATTTTTTCCTGTTCAGGAAAGAGGTAGAAGTCGCTTGGCGCTAAATTGAGGCTATACGCTGGGTGTTTAAAGGTGGTGAAGACTTCCACCCAGCTTAAAACTTTTTAATGTGTGAAGACATCCACTTCTTTCCTGAACTGAAAACGTGGCTAGGAGACGAAAACGTGGTAGGGCAGAGGTTTGAGACTAATGAACTAATGACGTTCTTCAAAACAACGTTGTTAAGGCCATCTCAATTCACTGGCAGCGACATTCTATGACAAGGGGATGGAAAAGCTCATCCACAGATATGACAAATGCCTCAATCTTCATGGTGATTATGTCAAAAAGTAATCATGTTTGTACCTAATTTTTGGTAATAAATTCATTTTGTTATTTACACTTGACTGTTTTTTTATGGACTATCGGAGCTTGGAAAAAACCACCCTCATACTTATATCATTTGTAAGTTAGTTACTTTCTCAATATTTTCTTTGAACTTTGAAATCACCAAATTAGAAGATTTCAAAATTTATAAGAAGTTTTGTCATCAAACAATTGCATGAAACTTGGTTTCCTATTCAAAGTTCTGACAATAAAAGGCTACTTTAAGGAAATCAAAATATTTATTGGAAAAGAAATGCTTTGGACTAAATTAGCCCAGCATCAGCTTTCCAAATAGCAAAAATTCAATAAAATTGAGCAAGTTGAAATTAACAGTTGAAGCAAACCTCTCATAATGTCAACTGTTAATTTCATACATATTCTATCTTTGAATTGTGTCTTAAATTCTGTTTGGAAAATTGATGTCAGATACAGGATGTGGTACACCAATGTATACATACATATACATTGGTGTACCACAAACCCACATACAATCCAATTTTCAATGTCCTTGTATGATCATTTCTATTATAAGATGGCGGCTTTTAGAGCCTTAGTAAAAAGGGCATTCACACACTCATCCACTACCAGGAGAGATTTCATGAATTGTAGTACATGAATCAGTTGGCTGTCCAACACGGGTACCCACCTAGATTAATAAAAAATTTAGTCAACAACCAAAAAAGCAACACCAAAATATGGGAATGATGGAACATAAATTCAAGATTGTGCAGTGTAACAAGATGCTGATGGCTACATACATAGAAATAGAAGATTACAACAACCTTTCCTTGGTCTACAGAACCCCATCATCTATATGCTTCTTAGGAACAGCAAAGACCCTCACAATAAGTTGTTCCATCTGGGAGTATACTCCATACTGTTGCAGGACAACAGAGACGGCTGGCATCTACAATACATCGGGGCTACAATATGTCCATTAAAGCAATTTTTACAAGAACATCTTATGTCATTAATAAAAGGCAAACCAATATGACTTTAGCCACATATGCTTTGGATGAGGATGTGTGGATACACATGGATAATGCGTGTCTCATTCATCACATATGGAAGCATTCTCTACTTAAATACCTGGAAATGCTAGAAATTTACAAGGCTAGTAAAAACAACATGGCTATCAACTACAAGGACAACATATTATCCCCAGCTTGGAAGGTGTTATTGGATATTTAGTATTAATGTTACATCTAGATATTTACATCTGGATACAAACACGTAACTCCTAATGACCAATCAGATGTTTGTGTTATAATTCAAATTTATTACATTCCATCGTATGTTCTATGTTTCCGAATAAGTTCTTAACTTGAGGATGATTGCTAAAAGCAGTTGAAAATGTTCGTTTTCTGCATAATTTTATTTATTGAGCTAATTTCTGGCTAAGTAAATGCTTTTTCCTAATAATNTTTTTTTGTGTGTGGGAGGCATTGAAATTTTATCACCTATATTATCTTATAGAAAAGTGTTTATTTTTTAAATTAAAGTATCATTTTGTTGCAGACTTGTAAGAAACCATAAAAATTGTTATGATGTTTATAATGTCCATGACACAATAAATATGAGAATGCTTCTCATTGGCTGACAAAGTCAACTTTAGCAATGGTTTCAGTGATTGTATCAACCATTGTTATAAAACCCTGCAAAGTTGATGTACTTTTATAAGCAAAATGAAAACTTTAACAGTTAATTCTGTGTAAAACATTCATAACTGTTATTTAGCTGAAGGTTTTTCCTGTTATATAGTAGTGCAGAGAATGCATTATCATCAATCAACAATTATGCAGTTGTTACAAAGATGCAGAAATGACAACAAAAAATAAATTGCATTGTTTCTTCTTGGTTTTTTCTGTCATTTCAAATCCCAATCATAGATTAAATGTGCTACTTTGCACATATGATGAATGCTTTTTGGTATATATCATAGGTGATGCAATTTGCATAGCCAATACAGTCAGCTCCCCTATAACAAGGTATATACGTTCCGGTTTTTATGAATCTATTTTCTACGAGTCCAGCCAATCACAGCCCGGCACGTATGCAGTTTACGGACTACGGCTGTTCAAAAGGTTTCTTCCATTAAATTAATCGATTCTAGACTAATTTGACTCAACATTTCCAAAATACGTATAATTTTTTGGGAATAATCCATATAAACTATGCTATAAACAAAAAATTGTAGGATTACTTACCGAGTGTGCCCCGTTTGACTACGCATTGCTTAAGCTTGTTTTTGTTGTGGAGATTGTCATTGAATGGCGCTCGCATGCTTCCCGATAAATTATTTTTTTGTGAAAAATTCGCTGAACTTTAGAGACATCATTACTACAAATATAATTTTTATGGACGTTAAATAATAAATGGTTTTTGGTAGATCCACTGCTTGTTTAAACTCAATGGTTTGTGCAATCCTGTCGCGACATGAGTCGGTGATGACGTTTTACCAAATTATAGGAGTTTTTTTAGCACGTTTGTACGAATACTGTCGCAATTTTTTCGCCGTGATATAGGAATCTGAACTATAGGAACCTGTGTTATAGGGGAGGGTCAACTGTATATCTGATTTCATGGTCTCCCCAGCATGCTGGGGAGACCATGAAATAAACCAGCATGCTGGTCATTCTGCGAAAATATGGTATAAATATAACAGAATTTGCTCTATTTAATTTTTGAATGAGTTTTTATGCAATATTTCATAATACAGCATACTTATTATTTGTTTGTTATTGAATTATAGGTGAGTTTATTGAAATATGACAATAATGGAGAATTGGATCCTGATTCCATTATACCTATGGTTGATGGTGGTACTGAAGGCTTTAAAGGAAATGGTAGAGTTATTATTCCTGGTATGACAGCTTGCTTGGAATGTAATTTAGACCTCTTTCCTCCTCAGGTAAATCATTTTTTAAAATTATTATTGTAATTTTTATCCACTTATTATGATTATGTATTAAAAGTCTATGACAACAAAAAGCAAATCAAAATTGGACAAATAAAAAGAATGTAACAATAAAAGATTGGATATAATGAAGCTTCATCATAGTAAGCAAGCAGTTGTTGTTTGATGTAGAGAAAAAATAAATTATTATGATGTAAATGATATTGTAAGCTTATAGTTGAGTATAAAGTTTAATTTTAAAGACTTTATTAATTAAATACATATGATATATATATAAGTTCCTGGATTAATTGCAGTATAGTACTGCAGCTCTATTAATTAATGCTTCCATTAGTGACCAGATAAGTAATATTTACATTGTTATTTGTGATTTAAGGAGGATATAACCTTTGTATTGACCAAGGGAAAAAATATATATGTTATAGCAATGATCTGGCATCAGATTTTACCAAAAAGTAAAGAAATCTACAAAAGAAAATAATAAGAATTATAAAAAATAATTATTTAATTTTAAAATTTATTGTATTAATTTCTAAAATGATTTTACTATAAATTTTATTTAAATTATTATGTTTAAATTTAATGTAGGTAAATTTTCCACTCTGTACAATTGCCCATACACCAAGATTGCCTGAACATTGTATAGAATATGTTCGTGTTTTATTATGGTCAAAAGAATATCCATTTGGAGGTGTGTATTTTAATTATCATTTAAACTATTTTAATGAAAGCTAAATTAATTAAAATATTTAATAATTTTTTTTGAATACTTCAAAATACATTAGGTCACAAAAGTATCCAGACACTTATAAAATGGAAGAGTGTTTTAGTTATAATTCATTTTTCGCATGAAATAGAAAAAGTAATGACAGATGTGAAATCTTCAGACTTTTTTACACTAGAAGAAATATATACATGTGCAAAAAATATTGATAAAAAACAAATACAATTTTATTTCAAACTGTGAAAATTTTCACATCAAAAAAGTATCTGGACAGAGGAAATAAATAATAGAAAGTGTCAGATCATTTGCTTAAACAATTTGCCACAACAAATGAGTAAAAGTATTTGTTTTGTACTTGAGTTGTTTTATTCTGTCATTGTAAACAATGAAAACAAACAAATTAAACATTGTTATTAAAGGACTCATTACTAAGGAATAGCAAAAAGGGAAACCTTACAGAAAAGTTTTACTTTCCAAAAGCTACAAATCAAGATACCATTATGAAATTCCTTACGACAAATAGCATAGTTAATAAGGCTCGACCTGGACTGAAATATATGTCTCGAGACAGAAACGCATCATTGTCAGGAAAGTAAAGAAAAATCCACGAATAATTGCTTCTAAGCTTGCTGTTGAGGCTCCTGTAGAATGTGTATACATCTGTAGAAACTGTCAGAAAAACTTTAAAACCAAGTAGCTATAAAGATTTTGTGGCTCTGAAAAAAACTGCAGTAATGGCTAAAGTTTGCAAAAGAGTTTTATATAAAACCAGTAACATTCTGGAAATTGGTTTTGATGTCAGATGATCCAAATTTGATGTGTTTGGTTCAAATGATTCGGGACATTCCAATTTTCAACGCTGATCTCAACATTCGTTAAAAATCGTTCCTTTTTTCAACATTGAAGTGGTGGTGTTGTCAGCACTGTCTCAACACACTCAACACTCAACAGACATATTGACTGCTACTTTCCAATGAATTGTGGGTAATTGGTGCAACATTTCAATGGAATCCATCTTGCTGAGAATGGAATTATGGAAACTAAGCACTTCGTACTCAAGTTGGAATGTCGTTGATGATGTCAAATTGTTGACTTCAACACTTGACACTCACGTTGAAAATCTGAATGTTCCGATTTCCTAAAGTATGGAGAATCTTTAAAAATAAAAAATCTGAGCCCTACAGGGATATGTGGAGAGGGTTTAGTGCTATTTGGAGTTGTATGTCTGCAAATACTGCTGGAACTGTGCAATTTGTTGATGGAATAATGAATCATTGTGTGTGTAAATATATTTTAAAAAACAATATTCAGAAATCAGTAAGAAAATTAAAGTCAGGCTAAGATTGATGTAATGATCCAAAACACACTTCAAAAATCAGTTTCTTGACGTGCACTGTATAAAAGTGCTTCCTTGGCCTCCACATTTGCCTTACCTCAACCAAGTCAGCATTTATAAGATCATATTGAATGAACAATCAGAATAGAATCAATAACAAACAAAACCAATCTTAAAAACATCATCAGAGTTTTGAATTTTAAAAATTTGGATGAAGCAATGCCTAGTTATTACCAGAGCAAAATGAGGCCCAACTCATTCTTAAAGGTATAAAATATATTGTTTTATCATTATTTATTTTTTCTGACTGAATACTGTTGTGATGTGAAAATTTTTACAGTTTTAAATAAAAGTATATTTCTCTTTTTGATGAATGTTTTTGTACATGTAAATACTTTTTTCTGGTGTAAAAAAATCTGAAGATTTTACGTCTGTCATTATTTTTCAAGTCCTATTTCAAGTAAGAAATGAGTGATAAATAAAAAACTTCCATTTTATAGGTATCCAGCTACTTTTGTGACCCAGTGTATAATCTGACTTTCTTTGCTTTTGAGTGTGTTTGATAAATATTTAATTACTATTTTGACTAAGTAGTCTTAACATCTGACATTATAATCTCTAACTTAAAAGGATAAAGATTCATCTGCAAAAAGCAAAATTAATTTGTCAGCATTGTCACATGACAATAAAGAAAATGTAAGAAAGTTATTGTCACATGACATCACACTAAGAAAATGTATAAAGTATCTTATTTTTGTACATTTATTTTTTTTAATGATTATTAAAGTGATTATTTTTTTATTAATTTATTATTTCAAATTTTAAGGAATTTAATCAAAATTCTTTCATTATTTGAATTTTTTTTAATTTATAAAATATTTTTTCTTCTTATTCCTGCTACTCTAGTAACTTGTAATAAAATTGAATTACTTTTAATTTTGTTTTATGAAAATGACATAATTTATATTTATTATGTGTATTAATATTTATGTTTAATAAGTGTAACTATTGAAGTTGATGGTGAATATGAAAGTTTCTATTGTGTATAATATATTTGATAATAAATAAGTTTTGTGATTATCTTTGTGAAAATATAAAGAGAACTAACTTTTAACTTGTGATACAGCATAATCTAATTAATTTAAAAGAAGAAAATAATCATACTACAGATGATAACAAATATATTTATTAATTTTATACTATATACAACAAATTATTAGTGTATAACATGATGATATAATTATTATAATACCATCAAGTTTATGTACTGTTTTACTCAACTTTTAAACTAGATACAAACTATGTGCATACTAGACTTTTTCATTAAAAGAGTACTATAAAAAATGTTAGGGCCTTATTAAGGTGTTAAGGTATGTTAAGGTGTCAAATAAATGCCAGGTTAAGGAAGTTAAATGGAGGAAAAGTGATAGTGCAAGTGATATTTTATAGCAATTTTCTTATTTATTTATATATATAATAGTTGTTGCAGCAGCAAGTCCATCTTGTTTATGTCAAGTTCATCATGTATTACTCTACAATACTGTAGACTAGAGGTTTCCAACCATTTTTATGTATGAATTCCCTTTAAGAAAAATTATTTTTTTATCAATTCTTTCAATATTATAATATTGTATAATATATATACTATATATAAATAAATATGCAACATTTCCCTACATAATTTTTAAAGACATCTTTCTACATTCATTTGAGAGCAGAAAAAGTACAGGTAACCCTGTATAATATGGCACTTCTATAGCACAGATTCACTCTAACACGGTTCGAGAATTGGGAACATCCCCGTATAACACAGTGCTTTTATAGCACGGATTCACTCTAACACGGTTTGAGAATTGGGTAAAACCCTCGTACAACATGAAATGTAATAAATTTTCACATATTTAAGTACTAATAGTTCACGAAAATTATTATTTTCGTGAACTATTAGTACTTAAATATGTAAATTTTCTTTTTCGCTTTCTGTCGATACACACTATCCTTCTCAAAACTTGTTTCAGTGTTGCCAGATCTCGGCACTTCTGATTTTGTGTTGCCAGATGTTTTTCCCTTATTCCATACTTGCTTTATTCTTCATAAGTGCTTAAGGAAATTTATAAAGATCTTTTAGCTAAAAGCAAGCAATCTAAAATAACATATTTTTTGCAAAACGTAGAGCATGGATCTGAAGATAATGCAGAAAAATGCTCAGAGGACAAGGATATCTTGCCAAAAAGAAAACACCCTTGGTTAATAGTGCTTAGTGATGATGAAGAAAATATTGTTTAATTTATATTAATATATATCGCTTAAGAAAATTTTAATAAAGATATTTATCTTAATTATGAAAATATAATAGCATTTTTTAAAATTTTTGGAACCTAACCCCCCTTTTCGTACTAGTTCTTTGTTTCATATAACACGGATTCGCATAACACAGCAATTTTTTGGAACATAACTTACGTGTTATACGGGGGTTACCTGTATTTAATATTTTTAAATAAACTTTACTGCTATTCCCTGAATTTTTTATTTATTGTATTTAATTACTCCTTATAGAAAAAAAAGTTGATTGTAGTAATGTGTGATAAAATATTTTAATAGCTTAAATATTAAAATTTCTTTGCATAAATTTTAATTTATACAACTTCGATTATCTGACTCAATTGGGGACTGGGATTGGTCGGATAATTGAAAAGTCGGATAACCGAAAAGTATGAAAAAATCCATTATTAGTGTAGTATATTATTATATCCCATGTAATTAGTATATTAGTATATCGCTATTAACCTACTTCGCGTTGAATTTTCATCGATGTTNATTGGCTTTGTAAATGAAATTTGATTTTTACATCAGCTGTTTTTGTTCTGTCATATATACCTGATGATATCTATTTTAAATAGATGAAAACATTAGTAAATATTTTCTTTATTTATTAATTACATAGTTGCTAGTATTGATTTGGTTGTCTGTGTGAATTTTCCACCTTTGAAAGATCAGGAGTCTATGCTGTTTCGTTGGAGAATACCGTAATGGGGGTGAACACGAGGTACAGGTACATTGGGGCCACAACACAAATGCTTGCTAGCCACCTAGCTGAGCACCAGGACGACGTGGTGAAAGGAAAGTGTACCACGGAGCTTACCAAAAAGATGCTTGAACAAAACTACAATTCGTTATTGGCTCAAACAATGTTGCTCAAACTCATATTTATATTGGAATCTCTTTTCACACTAACCTTGGAATCATGCAACACTTCCACGTTTGACCAGCCCAACATGTGGATTGTCCTATATGAAAGGTTAAATAATGATATACGTCTGCCATCACACTTTTAATGTGGATCTGTATCCACACATGTGCTGCAAGTCATCACAACATCTAGTGAAATCAAACTTTGTAGCGTGTTCATAAGAACTTTTTCATTTTATCATTTTAAATAACGTGTTCCACTTACATTAAAACATTGTTTTCTTTTTTTTAAAGTTTTATTTGCCTGATGACGATGAACATAAGTTTGTTGAAAGCGCTAGCAAAAATAAAAAACTATTAATGCTGCACTCAGTATATCTTTACTTCCTCTTATCTAATATTTGGCATGAAGATCAAACTATATTCTGTTTCTTCTAATCTTCTTGCATCCTCCTCCTGACACCTCTTTGCTTCACTGTTATTTCTGATAGCCTTAAGAGCATCATGCTTGCTTCTCCACTCATAATTTTGCTTTGGATACACTTTGAATTACCATGCTGCTGCTTCTCTAGACCAGTGTTCTTTAACCTTGGGTCTGCAGAATTTTCCTGCCAGTGCTCAAAAAATTTTGCAGGAAATTTTGTAATAACAAAATAAGATTTTAAACTTGTAACGAATATAAACAGTTTCTATTTATTTTTTATTATTGAAATTGTTTAAATGAAGTTCATTATATATCAAAATTTTATTAAAATTATTTGATAATACTATAATTACTATATAATAATAATTCTGTTTGTGCATGACAATTATCAAATGAGTGTCAGTCTTGTGATAATTCCCTCAGCCCTTATATTCCTGCTGTCACATTTACAAGGAAATGGCCAGATGTTTGCCTTTCTGATTCAAACAAAATTTGGTGATCATGTAGCCCTAAACATGAACAGTTCCTTCTCCAAATAATAGGACTCACTTCTCAAGAATTTTTGAAAAATAGACCTCTAAAAATTGAGTATTTAGCCTTATAAATCTTTGGGAGCTTCTCTTTTTGTAATTATGATAGCCAAGTGCATAGGAGCTGCGCGATGTAGGTTTGAGCTGTTGCAATTTTAGTTTTTTTTAAATGTAACAAAACTATTCTATTATTTTATTGTATCATTAACATTATTATTACTATTGTTATTTCTCGTGTTTAAAGCTTATAACACAAGAGATTAAACACCATGATGCCATTTCATATTTAGCTAAACAGTCTCTGTGGATTTAGCTTATGTATGATGTTAAATAAAATTTATATTTCTTCATATTTATTTTTGCTCCTGATTACATACTATGTCAACAACAAATAAGCTTTAGACGTTACTATGGATGGACAAAAAAGACAAGTCTGATACGATAATAGGATAGCATAGTCACAGTGTTTTTTAATTGTTAATGTTATGGACAATTTCCTCATGCACTCATGTTTGTTATACTTCAAATATAACAATACAACCCAATCTGAAAATTAAATATGTCTAAGAAAATTTATCTTAATCCTTCTGCCAGTCTGCAAAATACTATTTCTAGTTTTGCCAGTCCGTAGGTGTAAAAAGGTTGAAGAACACTGTTCTAGACTGTTCTTTTGCATATACAACTGTATTCAGTATGAAGACAAGATTGTAAGACCTCTTGGTATCATTCTGATAGAGGAATATTTGATAGAGAGCTTCAGTTTTTAGTAGAAATGTACACTTTTTACATATATAAAAGTAATTGAAAATGTTTAATTTTAGATAATGTAGAAATTGATGGCGATGATCCAGAACATATTCAATGGATTTATGAAAAAGCTTCAGAAAGAGCAAATGAATATAATATCCAAGGCGTCACATATCGATTGACACAAGGTAATATTTTTATTTGAAAATATTGATATTTAGACTGTAACGACCAAATTAGAATATTACTCTGTGCTATTACTATTACATTCTAGAATGAAAAGATATAATCTGAAGCCAATGAATTTAAAATTTAATTCTGTTGGTTTTTAAAGTTCATTTACAATGTAAGGTTAATTAAAAATGGTTTTTAAAAATATACAATTTAAAATAGCAATTTTCTTTATCTTTTACAAATAATTAATGTTAAATTATATATCTGTTACATATCAATGGAAGTTAATGTAATAAATTGTGTAACAGAATTGCTCAGAATTTTTTAATATCTGTGGTTTTAACTTTTTTTAATGGATCTGTTGTGAAGATATTTAAATTTAATAATCTTTTGTTGTATTCATCATAAAATTTTTATATTCTTATATTTTTATTCTTTGTGATTTAACCATCTCAGTTTTATTGGATATTTTCTGATTAGAATGATATAACTGATTCATAAAGGTATCTTTGGAGTAGAATGAATATTTTAAAATCATTTAACATAGAGCTGCATATATATAAAACATACTCTAATACTGTAGTTATCAGTATTATTTTCAAAATGATAGCAATAAAGCTATGTTAAATGGTTTTGAAGATGAGATATTGGAATATGAACACCATTGCACATCATATGGTCTCTATAAAGTTTGCAGCAGTGGAATTTTCATGACATGCTATCAATCTTTGCCAAAACCAAGGAAATTGTTTCTTCTAACTAAAGGTGCACCGATTAATCGGTAAGTAATCGGTAATCGGCCATTCCCCCCGATTAATCGGTTTCGATAATCGGCCAATTTTACATTTTGGTATTTTTGTTAGAATGTTACGTACAGTGCTAGTAATAAAAACTAATATATTTCTGTTATATATTTATTATTTATTACATGACAAACTGAATATTAAAAAAATTTTACTAATCAAATTATTCCTTTTATCGATACATATTATAAGTATAATATAACGTATAATATAAAGTTTAAACTTTACATAAGAAAAAGTATTGAATAGGTTAAGAAGAAAAATTAAATTTTTATTTGTTTCATAAGTTTAAAGTTTAAACATATAAAACAAATAAAAATTTAATATTTAAACTGTAAAACCCTTAAATTGTAATGCAAAAACATGAGAATTTCATCATTTTCAGGGCATAACCTATTTTTTGCCGGCTCATAAATGTTACCTCCAGTGCTGAAAATTTTTTCACTTTCAATGGAAGATGCTGAGGCACTTAAATATTTCATAGCTATTTTGCTCAAATTAGGGATAAATGTAAATATGTTTCTAATTCTTGATCGAAACGTTTGTTCGTCTCTTTCGTTTTTTTTTTTTTTTTTTAAAAACATGCTATTCTTCATTCTTTCGTTTACCAGAAGCTAATTCATCAAATAAATCAGAAAAACTTAGAAATTCACCTCCATCTTGATCACCTCCAGAAGTAGAAGCTTCAGAATTTAATTCTTATTGAGATTTCCTCTAGCATATCCTCTTTTTGAAATTTCATTTTGAATCTAATAAAAATGACAAGCATAAAGACTTGTTTTCTATATATGCTGAAAATCTTTTTTTATTGGATTTTCTAGTTCTTCTGTTGTGGTATTAATGCCACTAAAGGAACTACTGATCTTTGCTTTTGATAAGAATAATTTCAGAGTCTCTATTGTGGGAATTATTGAAGATGAAGTGGCTTCTCGTTTGCTGGCTTTCCACAGTAATTTCTTTGAATGGTTTTACAAGTAGAACAATTTTTTCAACGAGAGACCACTGATATGGGCTCAACGTAGGAATTTTATTATCTATAGCATATGTGACAAGGGCCTTTTGCTGTTCCAACATGTAGTATGTAGAATTCCAGCGAGTAGGAACATCTTGAATTAATTTGTGTTTCTGCAAACCTAACTTTTCTTGCAAATCTTCCAATTTGATTACAGCTACAGCAGAATGATTAAAATGTGTGACAATATTTCTATTAACTGTGATTATAGTTTTCACATCTTGTTTAGAAAATATGCATTCGTTTAGTGTCAGCTGCAGCGTATGTATAAAGCATGATAATGCTTCTAAGTTGCAATTCCTAATTCCAGCTACCAGATTTGCTGCAGAATCTCTTAGTACTAAGAATATCTTATCACTTGTCAACTTATACTGTTCAAGAACAATTTTTAACTGTTCACTGATTCGTGTAGCTGTGTGGGAACCTTCAAAGGAAACAATTTGCAAAACAGTTCTTTCCTGCTGAAAATCATCCTTCAATCAGTGGACCGTTACACTTGAAAAAGGAGAATTGTTTGTAGTTGCTGTCCAAATATCAGCGGTTAAAGAAATATATTTTGTTTCTGTTAAACACAGAAACACTTCAGCTTTTTAAACAATGTCGAAGTTTCCATGTGTCAACAATTAAGTGTTGCGATTTATTTTAGAAACAAAGGAAGAGATTGTTGATTTGGCGAGGATATTCTATCGTCTCTTGTTTACCTGACCCGAGGGAGATGGAAATATCAGGTGGAGAAAAATGGGTTTTTCCACATTATAATTAACTGTATAATTAACTCCAGGATCTCACACTATTAATTGATGCTATAAATTATTAACACTAATCGGCCGATTAATCGGTATCAACCAATAATGCATGGCCGATTAATCGGTAATCGGCCATTTTGCTTATCGGTGCATCCTTACTTCTAACCATCATTTTAATTCAATGTAACTTTTAACTGAGAATAGTTTGAAGTTAATACTATCAAGAACAGGTTAGCACTTATGCTGAACTGAGAGCTAATATCATTAATGTAATCTCCATGCTATGTATAGCTATTAAAAGTTCTATTGTGGTGCTTTCATGCATGTCAAAACACATCAATGTTTCATCCATAGCAATGATTTCTGTCACAGTCACTATATATGATACTAGCATATTGAGTAGTGCCTGAATATTGTTCTGTGCAAGTGATGTCTTTCATCTCATGGATAACTGGTTATTAAAATATGAAAATAAATATATTAAAGATACAAAATTATCTTCATTTTTCACTGTTTACAATTGCCAGGGACAGTCCAACACAATTTTCATTTATGAAGAAGACCTTTTATTTGAGGTTGTGCCTCTATAAAAAAAATGAAAAATGGATAAAAGTATTCTATGGCAACAATGCCAATGCCATAATTCACAGCATAATTGATTAAAATTAAAAATTGGGCAAGGGTATTTACATTAAAATATAAAAAATAAGACAATTTTATATCTTCACTATATTTATTTTTTATATATTAATGTAAATACTGTTGATCAGTTTTTAATTTTAAAGTTATGTTTCATGAGTTTTTCTATCCACCCTCTGCTAGCTCTGAGCACCATGTTTGTTTATCATTTTTATCTAACTGGGTGAATGTTTTTCATGTCTTGTTTATCACCAACTGTCTGAAGACATGGTTATTTTTTTTTGCTGCTAACAGATGAATTGTAAAGCATTTTCTTCTAATTAAGAGGAAGTAAAGATACACTGAGTGCAGCATTATTTTAATGTAACATTATTTAAAGTTAAAAAAACTAAAAAATTCTTATGAACATGCTACAAAGTTTGATTTTGCTAGATGTCTTGCAGCGCATGTGTGGATATAGATCCACATTAAAGGTGTGATGGCAGACATATATCACTATTTAACCTTTTATATAGGGTAACCCACATATTGGGCAGGTCAAATGTGGAAGTGTTGCGTGGCTCCAAGGTTAGTGTGAAGAGAGATTCCCATATAAACATGAGTTTCTGGTCACTGCAGCATATGAGCAACATTGTTTGAGGCCATAACGAATTGTAGTTCTGTTAAAGCATCTTTTTGGTGAGCTCCATGGTCCACTTTCCTTTCACCACATCATCCTGGTGCTCAGCTAGGTGGCTAGCAAACATTCATGTTGTGGCCCCAATGTACTGTACCTCATTGTTCAGGATTCTCTAAGGGTACAGCATAGACTCCTGATTTTTCAAAATTTTTCAATTTTTTGAATTTATCCCAATCATTGCAAATGAGTCTGTGCAAATTCAGTAGCTGAGATAGGGGAGGAGAAAGTTATGTTGCCTGAATATACAGCAAATGCATATGGAAAAGGGTCAGAGGTACAATAATGACAGTTAAACTACTGATACCTCTCTCTTGTTGCACAGTGTTATGGTTAGTTCTTGGAAATAGATATTCCTTAACCATGTTATGCACATGTGTGAATTTAGCACGTGAGAAACCAGCTGTGCATACTGCCAAACTGATGGTGTTTAACTCAATGTTTACAAGTGCTTCTGTTGATTGTAATAAGAATGCTTTTATAATAAGGGCAGCAATAACAGCATTAACATATTGCAAATGTTGGAAAGTGTCTGCCAGGATGATATGAGGCACCATATTAAATTTATGGAAAACTGAGAATAGTAGCTCTTCAGGGGATCTATATATGTACAAATTCAAGAATGTTATTGCTGCATCAACCTCTTTGTCCCAAGTGAAGTTAATAGAGGGGTATACACTGGACATTAATTTTGAAATAATTGTTTTGAAATTAATTTGTCATTATAAATTATTCTTTAATCATTTAGAATAATATACATATATATTTTGTTTGGGATGTAATTTTAAAATGTATATGATTTTAAATTATAAACGCAATGTGTTCCATTTACAAAGTCAATTTGAACATGTGAAGCATTTTACAGGCTCAAAGTCCATTTACAAAGTCCATTGGCTTTGTAAATGAAATTTGATTTTTACATCAGCTGTTTTTGTTCTGTCATATATACCTGATGATATCTATTTTAAATAGATGAAAACATTAGTAAATATTTTCTTTATTTATTAATTACATAGTTGCTAGTATTGATTTGGTTGTCTGTGTGAATTTTCCACCTTTGAAAGATCAGGAGTCTATGCTGTTTCGTTGGAGAATACCGTAATGGGGGTGAACACGAGGTACAGGTACATTGGGGCCACAACACAAATGCTTGCTAGCCACCTAGCTGAGCACCAGGATGACGTGGTGAAAGGAAAGTGTACCATGGAGCTTACCAAAAAGATGCTTGAACAAAACTACAATTCGTTATTGGCTCAAACAATGTTGCTCAAACTCATATTTATATTGGAATCTCTTTTCACACTAACCTTGGAATCATGCAACACTTCCACGTTTGACCAGCCCAACATGTGGATTGTCCTATATGAAAGGTTAAATAATGATATACGTCTGCCATCACACTTTTAATGTGGATCTGTATCCACACATGTGCTGCAAGTCATCACAACATCTAGTGAAATCAAACTTTGTAGCGTGTTCATAAGAACTTTTTCATTTTATCATTTTAAATAACGTGTTCCACTTACATTAAAACATTGTTTTCTTTTTTTTAAAGTTTTATTTGCCTGATGACGATGAACATAAGTTTGTTGAAAGCGCTAGCAAAAATAAAAAACTATTAATGCTGCACTCAGTATATCTTTACTTCCTCTTATCTAATATTTGGCATGAAGATCAAACTATATTCTGTTTCTTCTAATCTTCTTGCATCCTCCTCCTGACACCTCTTTGCTTCACTGTTATTTCTGATAGCCTTAAGAGCATCATGCTTGCTTCTCCACTCATAATTTTGCTTTGGATACACTTTGAATTACCATGCTGCTGCTTCTCTAGACCAGTGTTCTTTAACCTTGGGTCTGCAGAATTTTCCTGCCAGTGCTCAAAAAATTTTGCAGGAAATTTTGTAATAACAAAATAAGATTTTAAACTTGTAACGAATATAAACAGTTTCTATTTATTTTTTATTATTGAAATTGTTTAAATGAAGTTCATTATATATCAAAATTTTATTAAAATTATTTGATAATACTATAATTACTATATAATAATANTGATTTTCAAATCTTGTCGATTTGTCTTTTGTTTGAACGCCACACAACTCTCGATTACTCACTCCCCCCACACCATTGTTCAGCGTAATGTTCGGACGTGTCGTGCGGAATCGACACACAGCTACACTTTATTTTGTGTTATTTTTTTTCTGTGTTTGTTATATCTACGGCGACTTGAGAGATTCTATATGGTGATTTCTTGTAACCGTGAACGAATCAAAAGACAAGATAAGATTAACAAGAACATTTATTAGCTTACATACATCCAACTTGGATTTTACACAAATTGCGAAATTATACCCCGACTTACATGAATTCGACTTACGCGGTTATTGCTCAGTCCCACCTATCGTGTAAGTTTGGGGTATCACTGTACTAGTTGTTGTTAAGGATAGTATTTTAAAAATAGGCAGGCAAACAATCCTGGATGAATTACTATATAATAATAATTCTGTTTGTGCATGACAATTATCAAATGAGTGTCAGTCTTGTGATAATTCCCTCAGCCCTTATATTCCTGCTGTCACATTTACAAGGAAATGGCCAGATGTTTGCCTTTCTGATTCAAACAAAATTTGGTGATCATGTAGCCCTAAACATGAACAGTTCCTTCTCCAAATAATAGGACTCACTTCTCAAGAATTTTTGAAAAATAGACCTCTAAAAATTGAGTATTTAGCCTTATAAATCTTTGGGAGCTTCTCTTTTTGTAATTATGATAGCCAAGTGCATAGGAGCTGCGCGATGTAGGTTTGAGCTGTTGCAATTTTAGTTTTTTTTAAATGTAACAAAACTATTCTATTATTTTATTGTATCATTAACATTATTATTACTATTGTTATTTCTCGTGTTTAAAGCTTATAACACAAGAGATTAAACACCATGATGCCATTTCATATTTAGCTAAACAGTCTCTGTGGATTTAGCTTATGTATGATGTTAAATAAAATTTATATTTCTTCATATTTATTTTTGCTCCTGATTACATACTATGTCAACAACAAATAAGCTTTAGACGTTACTATGGATGGACAAAAAAGACAAGTCTGATACGATAATAGGATAGCATAGTCACAGTGTTTTTTAATTGTTAATGTTATGGACAATTTCCTCATGCACTCATGTTTGTTATACTTCAAATATAACAATACAACCCAATCTGAAAATTAAATATGTCTAAGAAAATTTATCTTAATCCTTCTGCCGGTCTGCAAAATACTATTTCTAGTTTTGCCAGTCCGTAGGTGTAAAAAGGTTGAAGAACACTGTTCTAGACTGTTCTTTTGCATATACAACTGTATTCAGTATGAAGACAAGATTGTAAGACCTCTTGGTATCATTCTGATAGACAATTAGTTCAATGATCTGTGAAAAATTAAGAGTTCAAAAGAGAAAATACAGGATGATGCATCTACTTGTGTTATTTATCACGTTTAACTCAATGTTTACAAGTGCTTCTGTTGATTGTAATAAGAATGCTTTTATAATAAGGGCAGCAATAACAGCATTAACATATTGCAAATGTTGGAAAGTGTCTGCCAGGATGATATGAGGCACCATATTAAATTTATGGAAAACTGAGAATAGTAGCTCTTCAGGGGATCTATATATGTACAAATTCAAGAATGTTATTGCTGCATCAACCTCTTTGTCCCAAGTGAAGTTAATAGAGGGGTATACACTGGACATTAATTTTGAAATAATTGTTTTGAAATTAATTTGTCATTATAAATTATTCTTTAATCATTTAGAATAATATACATATANTATAATATAGGTTTATTTATTTATTTATTTATTTTGCTTTAGTTGTTGTCCATCTTTAAATAATTATGTGGTATTTAATGATGCTGATGGATTGTACACTTACACATTTGAAGCATCTAGAAAGGTAATTTTGAATTAATATGAACAACATATTGTTATACAGTAATGATTACTAATAATTTATGTTCCATAAGATATTAAGCATTATATTCAACATGTTTTTAAGTTATATTGGTTGATGTATTTTAATTTTATGTAATATTAATAAAGCATCATTTACTTTTATTTTGGTAATGTTACAGTATAATGAATGATACATTTCTACTACTATTGATAATCCTTAAAGAAAGATTTAATGCTGTTTTTGACGGCATCAGCTGAAGTTAGTAAAGTGATGATTGAAACTACTAGATATAACAGTCTTACATAGCTAGTGGCACACTCAGGATCTGATTTTCGGGAGCAGAGTTGAACTGATAAAAAAAAATTTTTAATGCAAATTCAATAAAATTTTTACCTTATATGACCGCTCATTGATAAGTAGTACAGAAATAGAAGACATAGCACAATATAAATAAAAAAAATGAATTTTAAGAAAAGATTTTTGGAAAATTTTCTAGTTGTTTGTTTTCATTTTTCTTTGGAGGGTGCCAGGATCCCTTGGTCTCTCCTGGGTGTACCACTGGACCTAGCCACCAAATTGAATCCAAGAGCTGAATATGCATAAAACTTTACAAATTTAAAAATAACTTATTTGCTTGGATTCTGGTGGAAGTGGTTTGCTATTAATTTTAAAATTACAAACTAATTACATTATTTAATTTATTGTAATTAGATTGTTTCATTATTAAAATAATTAATAATATAACTGTTTTTTTAAAACTATAGATTTTTAATTGTAAATAGGATTGTAAATTAGGATAGGATGTTATTAGGACATCTTACATAGCTGACATCTTACCCAACACCAGATGGTTTAGATGGTTAAGCCAGTCTGGGAATCCAGAATTGAATATGGACATATCAAAAAAAGTAGAAATTTTTTGAAGTAGTCTGTCATGAAAATATCAGGCCCCATCCCTCATAACCTATAATTATCTGACAAAGAGGTTCTCTAGTACCTACAAGGTAGAAAGAATAAACAAAAACTTCTGGTTTCCAATGCACAAGTCAACTGTTTTAACTAATTGTTCAGCATATAAAGTGTAAAATGTCAACATTTATAGTTGTCGTTTTGTATACTTTGATAATGCTGAACATAAGAGCATAATAAGAGAGTAATTTTTAGTTGGAGTGAACATCATTGGTGTGGCTCATGCCCAATGTCTGCGTTATCAGCAATGATAACATTGATGTCATAAGCATTGTGGCTAATATGAAAATAAAAAAATGTGCCCCAAGTTATGATATGACTTGTGGTTTCCCAATTTGGCTTGTATGACTTTTGAGGAAACTGGAAGCAGTGTGCTGTGTATTATGATATAATATATAATTGTTATTTAATTCATAGAGCTTCAATAAGCTTTATATTACATATTAACTGATATTTTATATTAATCAAACTTCTTAACATTGAAGTGCCTATTGTTGTTCACGGGATCAAAAACCTACTTCACATTAATGTGGACTTTGCATTTACTGATAATGTATTTACACGGTTTGACTGTGCATAAAATTCATCTTAAATGTTATTGTTTTATATGCTGTTTTAGTTCTAACAGGATTTTCTGTGTACAATAGATTATATATGGTTATATTTATTTTAAAAAATTATATTATTGTGTAATTACTTATATTGAAATTATATTGACGTTAAAAGTGGAAAAAAAAAATCAATGTTTTTAAACAGAATATATAAAATTGTTAATATTTAAATAAGTTAAATATAAATATTTTAATATAACTTAGATAATTTTGAATATTATTTGGTCACTTCAAATAAAATTGACAATAATGCATTCTAAGCTTATTCTAAAGTTGCTTGAAAATCTAATTAATAGAAATCATAGTTTATTTAACTGAATTTTCTAACACCATTCTGATAAAAATCTAATAATTCAAACTGAAATAAATGATGCTATTTATTTTTCATTTTTTGTTTTATTTTTAATTTATTTAATATTTATGGTTATGGATCAGTTCTATTAATATTCTATTATATTTTTTTCTTCTCATAGGAAGACTGTCTTGTGTGCAGTCAAATGCCTAAATTACTTACTTTCAAAGAAAATTCTAAGTTGCAAGAAGTAATTGAATTTCTTAGTGAAAATCCAGTTCTGTGAGTATAAGTTTATAGTTATTTTAAAATTTGTCTTTATTAAAAATATTTTATACTATTGATTTGAAATGAAAAAAATTACTTTTAATGTTATAAACTTAAAAACAATTCTGTACAAGGATTGTTTGAATATAAATGAAAGTTCAGCTAAAATTTTAATTCTATTACAAAATAAAATTTGTTTGTTATACAAAGGTTATTTTTCCATCTGAATGTGATTATCACTAACAAAAAAACACATCAACTTTAATGCAACATATTCGAATTACGTAGTTAAACAGAACTTTCAAAACATTCTATTCTACTAGCCGTTAGTTCGATATCGTCAATACCTGAGGATGTCTATTACATATAGATGAAAACGTTTATAGAAAGAATTTTTCTGTTTGGTTATGAACTGGTAATGGTTTATTTGGTGAGTGTTATATAAAAAAAACACATCTAAATTTTTAACAAATATTACTCCAATATATTCCCACATTTACCATCAGTTGCCATCATCATTTAAAATGGTGTTTATTATCCACTATATAGCCCTAAACCTATTACTGTTGGACAGCCAGATAGCTTTATGATTAAGGTGTTAGTCTACTACTCCCAGAGGATCAAGGAATGAATCTGAGTGGGCCAATAAACTCCATGAATATTTTAAAGGGTGGTTATTCTGGATATGTTGAGCCTGTTTCTTGTCTTTACCCGACTTATTGGTCTGGTTAAACGCATGATATGCTTGATAAAAAAAGGCCCTCTTAGTGTCCACAGGGTAGAAAGAAACAAACAAGTACAGGGTAGAACACAAACAAAACATTGAGAAATGTGTAACAAATTCAAATAAGACAAAAATAGTACAAGGGAAATTTCAATGTGTTCAGTCAATAAAGTGTTTGTCACATTTTTATATTTAATGATCTGCAAAATAAATAAATGTTAAAATGGAATTTCATAATTTATGAAAATATGATTCAAAAACAAAATATGAAATTTGTAATTATATAATTCAGGATACTTTTTAATTTCAACTGTTTTATAAAATATAATTATAATCATTAGAGATTAATGTGATGCATAATTTTTAAATTTTAAGTACAGTACAATTTAATCATTATCAGTATTGTTTTATTGCAACTTTAGCAGCAATTTTGAATTTGTTCCATTGCAGAATAACTTTAATGTAGTTTTTTGAATACAGTGGAATCTGGTTAACTCAAATCAATTGGGGAGAAAAAAGTCAGACTTTGAGGTAAAAAGTTATGGAAATTTGGCTGTAAATCAAGATTTTGTGCATCAGTTTATTGATGACCTGTAATAAACTATCCATATGCTATTTCCATGGGTATTATTACGTAGAATCATCAATGTAAACTTCTCAGTGTTGTCCAGAAACTCAAATGCTTAACATTCAATTAAGCATTTCAATTAATGGTTAAATAAGCTATTGTGAAATGCTCTCCCAAATGGTTGAGCTGTTCACTCCTAACTGTTTATTAAGGTTTTTTTTAAATTGTGATATTTTGCACTTAGAATTAATCTGTTTTTTGTTTTTTCACAAACTTACCACTCTTTACAATTGTTATATTTTTAAAAATATTTACATAGACTGTAATCTTTTTTAATTAATTTATCAAAAATCCATTTATTTATTATGTCAGCTACTCAGGAAATCCATCAGTAGTAATAAAAAAAATGTTCGGAAAAAAGCATGTTTGAAGGTAGTTATAGTATCTAGGTCACGCGTTACCCCCAATATCACATGTTTATTTTTAGTGATACATGTTTCCTGTGCTTTTTAGAAAATTTCCAATTAGTTTATTCAACAGATAAATGTTAATTATTTTATTTAATTTAAAATTTCAGAGAGTTTATGAAAATACTATATCAAAACCCAATTCAAGTTAAACAGTTTGACAAATTTGAGTTAATCAGTCTTGATTTAACATGTAAATCCTTACACTGGAATGATCGGAGAAAGAAAATGACTTTGAGTTAACCAGGTTCCACTGTATTACAATCATACAGTATATTTTCTATTCAAAATTTATAAAATATGTTTACAATCAATTTTGGTTCTATAACTAGACAAATGAAATCTCCTGGAATTACAACTGCCATTAATGGAAAAAGGAAAACTCTTTACATTCAATCAGTAGAAAGTCTAGAAAAGCAAACTCGACCAAATTTAAAAAAGTCATTAAAAGGTTGGTTGATATTATATAGTCGTAAATAATATAAATTCTAGCAATATTATTTGTGTATTTTATTACTTATTACATAGTGAATTTGAAAATATTCTTAATATTTTAAATGGTAAAGTATTATTAAATGAAATTAATGTAACAATAAAGTAAAGATGTACACATATACAGTAGTGTAATCAACATATATCAGATCAGCAGATGTTGGATTACTAGATTTTGAATAAAAAAACAGAACTACAGTACATACAAATACAAATCACTCTAATCACACAATAAGTAACTGCTGTTTATCATATGTACTAAGTCAAATATCATTTCATTGTACAAGAAACTATTAATTTTTTTTTGCTTTTAAACACAGTTTCAGGCTTTTTCTTGCAGTCTCAAAACCAGTATGTCAACAGCTGCTACATCATTTTCCTCAGCTCATACGTGTTAAATGCACTTGCCATGATATTGGGCTTTATGACACAAACATTTGGTTCCTCTTGTTCCTTGTCATTGTCATTTAATTTCATTTCCAATGAGCCAATTGTTTACATTATCTACAGTCAGGTTTTCAGGTTTGTCAGTGCACAGTTCAGCAATGGTTTCTTGGAGGTCTGCAATTTCCATATCATTGCTGACAGAGACTTCTTGAACTGTTTTAATTTCTTTTTATGCTAAGCTAACAATGGCATTGTAGGCTATAATTTGATTTTTAAAATTGCCAACACTTTAGTGCAGATGTGCCATCAAACTCATCTAAACAACAGGCCATTTAATGCAACTGGTAAGATTCTTATGGGCCACATCACATTTACAGATTTTCTAAAAATTATAATTTGAAGTGAGAATGCTGGAATATAGATAGGACAATTAAAATACATTATGTAGTTCATTGAATTCAATTCAACAATATATAACTTTTATAGTATTGCTTTTATTTAAATTTAAACATTTATTTTATTTAATGTACATATTTATAAAACTAAAATTAACTGTTTTTACCAGAAACTTGTCGACGCTTTCAGTTAGCTCCTCCTAGTTTTTCAATATCCAGATTCAAAGACTGAGAACAAACAATTTACATTATGGCAGACAGATGTTTATCAGTTAATCTTGATCTGTAAGCCGTTTTATTTAATGCCGTTTTCATGCATGAAAATAATTGCTCATGTAAGTACATACTTACATAAAGCATAAAATTTGTGCAGCAAACTTTTTAATTTTCAGGTATTTTTCATATAAATAGGAATATATTTTGGGAGTTCCTACTTCTCGATATTTGTCTTTTAAAATCGAATCATTCTGGAAATCAATTAATTCCAGTTGTATTGGAACTTTTTCAACTTCGAAAGAAAAAGGTCCAATGAAAAGAGAAAAATTTCTTGTAACTCTTTGAAATCATCAAAATGTTTATCCAATTCATTTTCAATTTTTTTTCAATTTCATCAACATATTGTGAAAACGAGCAACTTTGATTTTGTGCTTTTATCTGCTCACATGTAAGAAAATATAACAACTTTTTTTTTTTTCAAATGATTTTAAACAGTCAAGTGTTTTTACAAAATGTGCAATTGCATCATACATGCTTGCAAGGCAAAGATCAATTAATTAATAACAATGTTATATTAGGATTATTCAGATGGTCTTAATTTCTGTTAAAATGGTCTTTTACCCACAATGGATTTTTATAACCAATATATTTTCGTTGTTTTCATCTTTCATTTCAAGAAATAATATTGTTTCCCCAAAAGCAGATAGAAGCTCTTCAGAACTTTGTGGCAGGATAACCAACGAACTTCTGTGTAATAAGGAAGATATTCGAATTTGGATTCTAAATCTTTGAGGAATAAAGTAAATTGGTGATGGTTAAGTGCTCTCGATCAAATAAAGTTGACTGTCTTTGTAACTGTTATAAGTACTTTGTCCATTTTTAATAATTTTAAACAGAGAACTTGTTGGTGAATAAGGCAAAGGAAAACCCTGATTTTCGGTTTATCTGGATATTCATCTTGTAATTTTTTCTTCAGTTGTGACACAGGTCCTTTAGTTTCATACGTCATTGATTTAGTGCCATCACTTGTTGCAGAAACAAGCGTGTCAAGAGGAAGCTTACATTTTTCTAAAATGCTCCATCAAAAATATCTTCACCAGTTGTTGTTTTGTGAAGAGGGATAATTTTCAACAATACTTCAGTTATCCTCATGTTATTATCACAACTATGAATAAAAACATCAACTTGTGCAACATGTCTTACATCCGTGCTTTTATCAATCACAATTGAAAAGTATTGGACTTTGGTATATACTTCCTGTAGTTATCAACTGACGTCATCTGCCATTTCTGTTATTCTGTCTGCCACTGTATTTCTTAATAATATCTCGAAATGCTTGTACCTTTTCTGGATAATTCAGCAGCTTTCATCATACATTCCTTGATTAAAGAACCAATGGTGAATGATTTTGAATGTTTTGCTAATAAATAGCTTATTTCATAACTGGATCTTGTTACTGATTCATTACTTTTTATGAATTTTGTAAGCACTCATTGCTGGCTGTTAAGCGAATTCATTGTTTTTAATTTTTCTTCTCTTATTTTTCCTTTGAAGCATGAAAATTGTTCTTTGTGATTAGTGCTATAATTTTGCTTAATGTTGTATTCTCTAGCAACACTAATTGTTTCTTTGCAAAATAAGCATGTAATCTTATTGTTCAATTCCACACAAAAATAGTTCAGCTCCCATCTTTCTTGCAATTTTCTTCCCTTGTCATCAATCTTTTGTTTCTTATTTAATGTTAAAAGTGACATTTTCTGTATAAAAATTAAGGTTTAAATTTAAATTTTAAAAATTTAAATAACTGCAGCTACATGTACTTACATTTTTTTTTGAATAAGTTAAAAAAGAAAACAACCCACAAACCTTTAAGCACCTCCACTGTGGTGGCTGTGCCTACTTGCCATATATGGCTCTGCAAGTGAAAAGACTTTTTAGCGAGTTTTGAAGCTTAGCATCTCTAGATTGAAATTGGCTTGAAGTTACTGGCGAGGTGCATAACCACGGTCTAGTCTCCAATGGTTGATCAGTGCATCACAGCATATGACATATCACGTCATAGCAACAACATGACAGTTACTTGCTATTTTCTTCATAACGTATTGTTTCCTGTATTTCATTTTATTGTAGAGCATCATGGCTGCGGGCCATGAAAAATAACATCGGGGCTACCAGTTTGACATCTCTGCTTTAGTGGATACATTTTCCTATGTATGAACAAGGTCCTAAATGACATCTTTGAAGTTAGCAGCCTTCAGTGAATCAAGGGTGTTTTCCTTGTTGCTTACAACACTGTAGAGTAGATTTTTTTTCATTATATGGGATCTTAACAGTTTTTATCACATTTTGATCCATTGACTGTAAGAAAGATGTTACATTTGATCATAAGAAAATCACTTTCACAAAGCCATCTTTAGACTTCAATTCATTTTCATTCAGATGTTCCAGGTATTTATCTAAAAGTAACAAAGCTTTCTGCAGAAACTTTTGCCATTGAAGAAACTTCTTAACCAATGGGACAAATTGCTTAAGAAACCAGTCAAGTTCTTTTGTCATCCAAGCATGACTTTGGTTTTTATATTTAACTGGAAGATTTTTGACATTTTGAAATGCCTTTGAATTATTAGACTTGCCTGTAACTGATAACTTAAACTTATATATATATATATACTGATGGAATTTTAACAAGGCATAAACATGATTTTTTTTCATTTTCCTATCAGGAGCATCAATTTTACTTGGTGGACAAATATATCACTGGAAAAAAGACTTCAGAACATTTCACCCTCATCAGTACAGAAGGTTTATCACATTCCATAATGCCGATTTGTATATTACCCATAGTTACAGTTGTAGGAAGTAGAATAAAAGCAACTGGCCCACATGCTGCTGTATATTCTGAGTTTTACTTTTTATAAGTAAGGTTTATCTATTGCAAATGTGCCACCTAAAATTTCAGACTTTTGGGCAGGTTATGTAACTACTTTTTCCGAAGCAAAATATTTGCAAACTCAAATTATTAAAGTGTGCAAAAATCATGGTTTTAACATTTCACGATATGGGATACAGTCAATTCTCAAAGGAAATGATTCTCAAGAGCCAGGACCGTCATCAAGTGTTTCAATTCAGCCCAGAAAAAGGAATGACCCAAGCCTCACACTGGAGGTGATAGCAAAAGTGTGACAACTGATCAGTGGTTCAAATCCAAAAACCCAATAAAGTATTGCCCCGAATGTTGGAATAGCCCAGTCCACAGTTCATGCCATCATTCACAAGAATTTGAAACTGGAGAAATGCTATAAAGGTCAAGTTCACAAGCTGCTGTCTCATCATATCCAAGAACAAAAGACCAACTGTCGAAAACTGTATGAAAAGTATCTTTTGGTAAATGAGTGGCAGTTTGTAGTCACTGTAAAGTACTATATTATTTTTCCGACTTTCCAACGATTATCGACACTACTGCGTGCCGGAAATAGCCGTTCCCTAACGGGTACTTTACGCGGATTCGCGTTAGTGTGCCAGGCCTGGACTTTAAGCGTGCACCGAATTAAATAATGACAAAGTTTGTCAATAACAAAATCAAATATTTAATTAAACTTCTAGTAATAAACTATATACAGTATTTAGTAAAAATCAAACAATAATTTATTCAATGAAATTCAACAAGAATCAATCCGACAAACTCAAATCAATCTATTTCTAACTTAATTCTATTCCCCTTTGGAATTCGACAAAATCAAAGAATTAACTTATAAACAATAATTCTTATAAATTAAAGATCCTAATCGTCACCTCAATATACTAGGAACCTATTTCCTCAAACTCTCAAGACTTTCTATAATCGTCGATCCACAAATCGAATAACTTCAAAATCCTATCGGACACCTCTCTCGTTCACTGCTACGAAGCTCACCAAAGCTCGTTGCTATCAGGAATTCACCTCGTTCGTTTTCACTTGAGTTAGAGGCTTTATAGTGTGAGGTGACGTCACAATTCTGAATGAGCTCACTCTCCTCATTTACATACTTATCTGTAACATTAAATTTTTCTTGTTTATCTGGCAGATTATTTTCCGACAATACTTCGCTAACCTTTTACATTATTCTTTTTAACAATTATCGGGATGCTTTATTCTTTTAAGGTTTAGCGATTCCTAACTGGGTTGTGGGGTTTTCCCCCCCTTTTTCTCGGTGCGGACTTACTTTTTTCCGCTTGGGAAGCGCAAGTGTGCGCGAGTTTTTCTACGGCGCTTTTCTTTCGTCGGTGAGTTGGTTTTTCTTCTATTTTTAAGTTACCTAAGGTGAATGGTGAGGAAACCTTCGTCTTAACTAAACATAAGCCCCAAACAAAATATAATGAAAGCAAAATAAAAGTAAAATAAAAATAAAGCTCAGACTTGGTTCCTTACATCACGTTTGGTCTAGTGAAACGAGCTCTGGGAAGTCGTCGTCCAAAAACAATGGCAGGCTTATGGAAAGCCTGTAAGGAGGAATGGGACCGTTTGGACATGAATGTTTTTCAAAGAAATCTACAGTGGAAACTTTGATGTAGGGCTATAGTTTCACAACATGGTCATCAGATTGAGCATAATCAAAACTGACGCCAGGGCGTTTAGGTTACTTTATAGGCCTCTAAATTCGGCATTATGTAATGCGATCAATCCTCTGTATTACAGATTTGATCAGGGCTAAGACTGAGTTCTACTGTTTTCATAAATTTTTCATCATAAAGTTCAATGACTTCAAAGTCACAAGAGTGTTTCTCATATGTTGTGCTTAGCAAACAGAATCCAAATTGTTCTTTGAATTTATCAAGCCAGCCAATACTGGCATGAAAATTGTCTTTCTTTCACAATTTCCTTATAGCAGAATTTTGCTTTTTCTTTAATAAATTCACTGAAAATAGGAATGTATCTGCTGCATTTCTGGTGAAAACAGGTGTCAAGAGCATCTGCAACTAAAGGATACTCACCAGATCGTGCAATTTTCTTATCACTGCTCTTGTCATCCAAATCTTTAACAAATCCCTTAATTTTGTCCTGGTTATCTTGTTAATCATGATCGTGATTGTTTTTACATATTAATCAAGATTGTGACTGTGTATGCAACAAACAACTAGCAACTGATAGTACACACATACATCAGTCGCTCTCTCTTTATCTCATGAATATATTGACAAATGTAGAAGTATCGGATTACTGGTCTTGTCAGATTGGTGAGTGACACCGTTGAGACTCTACTGTATTATGCTTTTAAGATTGTTTATTCATTGATGAGAAGCTATTTGAAAAAGTTGAGATATTCTGTTAATTTTTCTTGAAGTGATCAAAATTTCAGAATATAAACTTTGGACTTGAGCTATTGCAAAAAAGGAAAAGTTTTTTTAGGTATTTAAAGTTTTTAAGCATAAACTTATAGGATAGAGCACTGGATTTAATTATCTGTCAGTACTTTCCATACGTGAAAGGTTGTTTTAAATAAATCAAATATACTATTATTTTTTAGATATACAGTAGAGCATCGATTATTTGACTCAATTTGGAACTCAGGTTAGTTGGATAATCGAAAAGAATGAAAAAAATACATTATTAGTATAGTATATTAGTATATCCCATGTAATTAGTATATTAGTATATTGCTATTAAACAACTTCGTGTTGAATTTTCATCGATGTTAAGCCTAACAATTTTTTTTAAAATAATAATCGTTGCTATTGTATCGTTAAAAGTTATTTTTGAATTATTTTATTGCTCACAAAACAAACAACCATTCATTATTAGAAAATTAAGTCTTGTTTAAATACTGGCCTCCCTTCAATGGTGAGTCGATGTTGCCACCTAAAACATGCAAAAATTTAACAAAAATAATATTAAAGTAGCCAAGACATAGCCAAATATTGTAGTGTCACATCACTAGCGGACATTTAAAATTTTCTGACTAGAACGGTCGGTTAACCGATGCTCTACTGTAAATACATTTGTAATGAGTAAGGATGATTTTATTCATATTTATTTTATAATCTTTTATTGAAAAAGCAAATCTTGTTTAACATTTTTTTAACTGCTATGATATTTTTATTATTATTTGGTTATAAAACTTTACAATACTATTGACAAACATATGAAGTAGGCCTATTTAAATTTGATTCTGTTTAAATTTTTAATTCCTTCAATGCAAAATTTATTACTTTAATTTTGAAATATAAATGAGTGATATAGGATTAAACTAATTGTTTAATGAGAAAATACAATTATGCCATATTTAATTAAGAAATTTAATTTAATTGATTCACTACAACAAGAAATTTTATCGTAATAAATACTTTAATTTTGTCTAATCCTGCAATTTCCAATTATATTTTTATTTCCAGAACTTGGTCTTATCGACGGTCAAGAAATTCTAGTTGCAGATGTTACCTCACCAAATTCTTTATTATTTAAGTTACATTTAGTGGATGAAATGCAAGCGGATTAAAATATTTAAATGTGGTCCTGTAAATATTGTTTGTAGGACGGTAACTGTGTGTGTTAAATTAAAAGAAAAGTGTAAAAATTCGAGAAATTTTCTTTTATTCTGACTTTAATATTTTAAAACTTGAATTTTTTTTCTAATTAACAGATATATTGTACTCTTAAGCTGCATTCAGACAGGAACATACAACATGAATGACATAACATGACATTGTTATTTGCCAAGAAGACACTTTGGGGTCAACAACATTGTTAGGCTTGGAATTAATTTCAACAGAAGGAATCTTACATTCAGCCAAATCAAATTGTAACATTTCTGGGTGCATAAGAATGACAGGAGAGGAAAATGGCATAAAGCATGTTGGAGGATATAAATTACCAGGATTGTGGATTCTGGGTCGTCAAAAATCTGCCGACTCCGGATATGTGGGGCACAATTTAGTTCAACCATTTGGAAACTTGATAACTCCTGTGTTAAACCATCCTACTCAGATTCAAAAACCACAGAAGTTATTAAGCTTGAAACAGTGTGAACAAAATTGTGCCACACATACACACAGTCTAACATCCATACATACAAGGGGAAAAAAACTGAATCTTTTGCATATCTCAACATTTAAAGGTGTTCCGAGTCTAAAAATGTAAAAATTTGGGAGTCATTTTTTGACCGATCACTACAATACACAACACAAAGTAAAAATTATGAAATACATATTTTTATATATTGATTATGTCGGTTTTGATGGTGTTGGCGTAGCTAACAGACGTGTGTCACATCGGCTCTTGTGTTAGTTCATGGAATCGAAGGTTTTACTTTAAAGTACATAAGCTTACTATGTTATATTCTGATGATAACATTATGTAAGATTATAGGGAAGGAAAGTATAGACTAGTGCAGCGGCAAGTCTCCGCACTAGTGGAAGGAAAACTACTGCAATGGCTATCCTGGTGGACTGTCACTGCGGAAGCAGAAAATTATTGTCAAGAGAGCAGCAAATACACAATGCATTTAAACCATGCAAGCCACCTTTCTGACAAGAGAGAAGGATATAGGAAACAGAAACACACTTACCAGGACACTGGGGAGCTGTAGCTGGACTTCCAGCCAGCTACAGCTCTTCAAGAAAAGTAGATAATTTCCTGGCTAAGATTATTAGCAAAATAAGGAGTTTATTAAGCTGATAAGAACAGATTCTATAAGAATGAAAATAGTCCTTTCCCAACTACATAAATTAATTTTCTTTTTGATTAGTTTAGTTTTACATTTTCATTAGACACAACATCCAATACATGGACAATGTTTGTTCTGGTGAAGGTTTGTAAATGTATATGTGAGATCCATGATTTTCAAGGATATTAGAATCCATTTTTAAGAAATTTTTCATTTAACATCCGTCGCGATCGTAGAAAACATCGCACAGAACACGGATTGAATGACAGCTTTATCAACAACAAACGGATGAGAATCTTAACGGCCAGTTGCAAAATGATAACATCCGATTGTGAAAGGAGAGGAAAGGGACACCGTTACATTAACGAAAGTCATCGCTAAACTGGCACCTGCAAAAGCAACCTTAGTTTCTAAACAACTGCCGGTAACATTATTGACTTTCTCAGGCTAAATGCATAAAAGGAAGAGAGAACGACAATTTCGGGCGGTCATCCTAAGGAAAGGTGTTCGATACACCCGCCATATCCGGTGGATACCGATTGACATATCAAGTCGCCTCATAGAACAGACCTCTTCCAAGCCATTATCATCGACGACTCGCCATACGAAAAGGGAAGACGTCGACCTCCATACTTTACTGCTACCCTTGCAAACGATTTTCAACATCAAAGTCTAAAATAATAATCATTACATAGGGATGTGTTGCTGAAGTTTTTTGGGTCTCAGAATTTGAAGAAGAAAAACGAACAATGCCAGTTTGTTTTTAATCAAATGCAGGATCCACACGTTAAAGCTTATTTCTTCTCTTTACATAGAAAGTGTTTGTTTTATTAAATTATTAGCCTCTAATTTTATAGAAACAAAAGTATTATTGGCTTATGATGATATAATATTGAAACGTTTAATGTATATAATCCACATAATCTATTGCTATCGAAAAAATTAATGTTGGGGTAACCACGAGAGCACTGATTAATTAATTAATGATTTAAGTAATATTGACAATGAATTACAATAGACTCCCCTATAACACTGTTGATAATTCCGTGTTATATAAATTCCATGTTCTACGAGTCTCTTAAATTTTACAAATATGTGTGCCGGGCTGTGAATGGCTCACGTATTTGTAAAATTAAGTGACTCGTACAACATGGAATTCATATAACACGGAATTATCTACAGTGGGTCTACTGTATTTTGAAATGTAGCGACATTTATTTACGAACGGTTGGGAACACTGGTACAACTGCTGACCTCGATAACTGACTGATATTCGAACCTTTGTTTTATTTGATTGCCGATAGATTTCTCCAACTAACCGACGTAATAAATAAACGGATTTTTGATGATAACAAACAGATCGATTGTAGATGCAAATTATTGCAATTTGGAAAAAAAATTAAATTTGAAACTGGTCATGCATTGATCAAGAAACTACTGTTTTAAAATAATGATATATTAACATAAATATAATACGTCTCAAAATCTGATAATATATTAATAAACCAACAAACGCCTAAATAATTGGGATATAATATGGCTATAATTAAATAATAAATACAAATGAATTTGGTATAGAGGTAAAGCGTTAGGCGCCATCTCTTATCTAAATTAATAATTATAATTTTTAATAATTTAATAAATAATTTAGGACAGTTTGCTGATTCGCGATCAAACTTCGAAGTTTGGGAGAAGATAACTATGAGTATTAAATCTATAAAAGATAAAGAAAATAATATAAATAACGAGATAACAAAAGATGAAATTCGCGTTACATAATCGTAAAGCACCCGGCGAAGATCAAATATCAATACAAAGTGAATTTTATACGTATTTTAGCGAATATTTTACGGATTATTTTATTTAATTTTAGCCCTTTTGTCAATAATTTTACTTATGGAAAAATGATTTTAATTAGTAAAAAAAGAGTGATACGGAGAGGGAAGTGACTAGTTTTAGACCGATAACGCTTTTAAATTTAGATTATAACATTTTTAGTTTTATAATCGCGAAGAGGCTTGAGGAATTGTTTAAACACGAAATAGTGAGTACTCAAAGCGCTGGAATTAAGTCGTAAATTGATGAGAAATGATAGGAATATGGGAGGATGGAGGATATGGGATATCAAGAGCATAGAGTACTCTCTACAGATAGCGCATATGCCCTAATGAAAAAAGAACATCCGATTTTTTTGTATTATAATATATACTTGGATCGATATCTAAAAGGATTACTCGGATGGAGGGACAATTTCCTTTTTTAGTGAGTAATAAAAAGAAATATAAACGTTGGCGTGAAATAATAAATTGTTTTATTGATAAAAACGGGATTATAGTACATAATAATAAAATTCACCCGACAATGATTTATAATAATATACACAAACAGCAAATTATTAATAATAATATGGTAAATTCTGTTTTTAATTGGAACTTTGTATGAAAAAATGTACAGGATCTTCCGCTCGAGTGGTCAGATCTCACCTGGAAAATATTACAGTAGAGAGTCGTTTATCCGAAACGTCTGTTATCCGAAAGTACAGTGGCTAGAAAATATAGTGTCGAAAGCGCTTATATTCCTCCATTATAACCGTTCGGTCCATACATCGAGGTTAGTGACGTCACAGACAAGGTGGCGCTGATGTCAATCGTAGTGCTACTTTCGCTTTGGCTACGTGATATCCTTACTTACAAGAACATCGAAAGCGATTAAATTTGTGCTTGTAAAGTGAATAAATCCTTAGGAAATGGCTGAACAGAAACTTTACTGACTTGTGTATTTCTAATTTATAGATATTACTCTACTGTAATTTTTAATTCTTTTATTTTTGTCGAAAAGGGTGAGAAATCTACATGCATATTAATCTGTAATTTTTTAAGAGAGATTTTTCAAATATAAAGTGTATATGCATGGGTACTTGGCAGTAGACTAATAATCGTTTATTTGTACATACTTAATTTTGTAATTTTATATTGGGACAATAAAGTAACATTCTGCCTTTATATTTTATATACTGTGTAGAATTTAATTGTAATTTTAATATTGCTTTATACTATGTCACATAATACTGTGAACAGTATACAGTATTATGTAACTGATGGCATTTGCTTAATAAATTCTATTTTAGGCCCTC